ATATATATATATGTGTGTGTGTGTGTGTGTGTGTGTGTGTGTGTGTTTTATGTTCTTAATACATCCTAAAACTAGATAAAGCCTCGGAGGAACAACACATTGTAACATTTTACAATTTTTAATGTCACAAAACACGAGCCAAAACTAATGAAATTAAAAGCACACACTAACATATTAATAGTTAGTTAATTAGTTTTATAATTCATCATCACTGAATGTAAACGCCTGTATATATGTTGCCAAAAAGGTAATAATTTGGTATAAAATTGGTTGTTTAAGCCTCTTTTTGAGTTGCTAATAACATAATTTACACTGACATAAGTCAGAAGTTAATTTCTCAGAATAAACCAACTCTATTTACATTCAGGTTAATGTTTAAAGAATTTGTCTAAATGCCAATTTAAACAGAGGTTCTGAATTTTTCTCTCTGGTGGACTGGGTGGTCTTGTCTGTTCTGACAGGGGTAAACAACCTGCAGCACACACTGATCAGACAGGTTCAGCCATGATCCTGACGGGTCCCACACTGTGTCTTCCATCTTCAGACACGGTCCAGGAGCTGTTCTCTGTGGCTCGAGATGCCAACATAATCCCAGACATCTCCTTGGATCCTGTTCTCTCAACCTTCCTGTCTCTGGATTCAGCTGCGGCGCTGCAGCACCGGTACAGCTTTTTACAGCGAGGCATGAGCCAGGAGCAGCAGGCGGCCTTTCACCAGAACCTGACTGCAGAGTTGGGCTGCTGCAGGGTCACACATGGAGGGGTGGGCCTCGTTGCTCTGGCACTGTCCGTGCTTTTTGACCAGGTCGCCCAACAAGTAGGTTAAACACCCCTTTAACATGCTTGTTGCTCTAAAAACCAGTGGTGTCAGTCTTGGTCCACCATGCTAGTTGTAGTTGGTTTTCCTGCTCTTCAGTAGGTCTTCAAGTTCTGCAAAAACCTGTAAATCACTCAATCAAATCAGCTGTGTTTTAAAAACAAATATGTTTCAAATTCTCATCAGATTCGCCCTCAAGGTTCAACACAGAGCCCCGTTTCTGTCCGGAGGTCCGAAGCAAAGAGGATTTTTGGCATTGGTGCATCTTCGAGAATCGGCCGGATCATCCGGGCCTACCTGAGCCTCGTCCCCGGTGTCGCCAACAGCGAGGAGGAGATGTCCGAGACCACTGAGCTCTACGACGAGCGGCTGAAACTGGAGCTGCTCGATCACTACGAGAGGATGACCACGAAGAAGAGGATGAGCACGGAGGCCATGCAGCAGTGGCTGACAGGAGCTGTGTTTCATCTGCACACCAGGCTCCATCAGGTCAGAACCAACTGGACAYTTGGAATGAAAATCCTTGAATTCTTGATTTAACCTCATTATTCTGCACATGATTTAACTGACAAATATGTTTGGGGCATTTTTAGGTCCTGATTTTTGTTGTTTTTGTGCAATCGAGGTGATATTTTTATGATTTATTATCGTTGTATGTATTTCTTAAGCACCAAATTAAAAAAATAAAGACATTATTAATAACTCAAGTA